CCCCCGCACCCCGGTGCTTCCTGGACAGGCCTGCGCGCTTGCGTGGCGCTCAGGTCTTGTGGCCTGGTCGAGGGGACTAGGGGACTGTCCGTCAACCAACGCAGGAGACGGACACACCCGCGCGAACCGACCTCCGTCCCAGGCCCGAGCCCAGGTCTGACTGGTTTATGCTTGCTTCTTGGTAGCTTGGTGCGCCTACAGACCACGATAAATCAAAACTGCAGCCGCAGAAAAATCAAAAATCAAATAAAATAATGTATTGATTACTTTTGCAAGTTTCATTAAACAAACTGGACAAAAACCTTATAAGAAATAACAAAAACAAAACACAAATTTTAGAACATTTTAGCGGCTTAGGGGCCTTTGGGAAGGGTTTTAAACGTGTAACAGTTTAACTTCCTGATAGAAAAGGGAACCTACATGGTAAGACCGTTCAGCTAGAATTCAGCTCTGTGACACAACGTGCAAAACACTTCAACAGGCAAGGGAAACAATGCGTCTCGAACAGTTCTTCGCTGTAACAGGCAGCTAGCGGCCTGGTGAGAGCACCGACTTTTCTCAAGACGGCGATCAAGGACGAGCCGCCGCAGGGCCGAAAGGCCGCATGCCGCCAGCTCCTGGCCCAGGTCGGGGAAATAGAAAGACTTGCCATTGCTGTCGGTGGGGGTGCACCATACACGGAGCTCCTGAACTGATGAGGCATGGGCCCGAATCAGGGACATCATGGTGAACTTGTGCCCAGCATTGAACCCCACGCAGAGCCACAGCAGCCTGTTATGCTGCGAGGGAGGGAAGGTCAGATTTGAGCCAACGTAATTGAGAACCGTCAAGCTGCGCAGTCTGGGCATGTGCTCCAAACATCGCAACTGATTCTCCGTGGCTTGGTTAATGTGGAGCTCTTCCAGCTGTAACGGCAGGTCCGGGTATTTTTCACTTAGAGTGCACTTAACTTCCAGTCGTCTGAGTGCCGACATCTTCAGCACCTCCTCCATGACGCTGGGCTGAACCTCCCCCGAGGTCTGCAGCTCCTCGAGGTGCGCTCCCATGACCCGCAGCAGGTCCTCAGAGCCTTCGCCCTTTAAATCCCGCAGGCTGCGAGGGGTGGACCATTGCTGCGGAACGTCACGAAGAATGTCATTTACTTTTAGACGACCATTATTGTCAAGGTGTTGATTAGTTATCGTTAGAACGGAGATGAGAGGCGGGCCCACGTAAGCCGCAACAGGGGTCGCAGGAACGGCGCTGGCGTCGTCAACCTGGAAAGATGGACAGTGGATGAGCACCTCAACACCAACAAGAGCATTGTCCACCTGAGTGGTGACTCACCTTTCCCAGCTGGCCGTCCGCCCGCAGCTTCTGACTAGGTTTGGGCTCTACTGCAACCTTGGTTGCCTCACTACGTTTTGGAGGTGGTTGAGTTGGCGTGGCAGGTGTTGCACTCTTAGGTCGCATAACCACGAGGAATTTGGTAGGTCCAAGGATACTAGCTTTGTTGCCTTTGGCTTGAGCTTGAAGTAAATTTTGTTTAACTTGAGTCTGAACTAATTCCAATTGATCTTGTGTGAACTCTGTTGCCTGGACTCCCTGGAGCATAATGCGCGGGCCCTGGCCAGTGTGCATCACCTGAGCAGTGATACACTTGGTAACAGTTCCAGGAGGCTGTCCAGCCTTTAAGGACCGCTCAATCTCACACTCCTTCTCCTCGCCAGTCTTGACAGGAGATGGTAGTAGTACAATAGCAGGTGGCTGCTGAGCAGGCTGTTGGGTTGGTTGCTCTGTAGTTCCCACTTCCTTCTGGCTACTTTCAGCAACACTTTTTGGCTCCCCTTGGGTGTCTGGCACTTGCTCACTATTAACAGTCGCGAGCTGAAATTTACCTGAAGCCAACTGCTGTGCAAGATTAGCATTCGACACCAGCAGCAGCAGAAGGCGTAAGATGTCGCCGCACCCTCCGGGCTGCACAGAGGCCGTCCAGGCGGAGCCACCCTCCCCTTCGGCAGCGACCGTGCACTTAGTGGAGGTGAGCAGGCGGTGGCTGGCCTCCAGCTGCTCCGCCAGCTGCAGCGGCTCCTCCTCGTCCAACCGGAGCGGGTCCGACGCGTCCGCCGTGGTGTCGACAGCACCTGCTGCCCCCGGCTCCATCCCTCTCTCCAGGGCCGCCTCCACTCGAGCAAGATTGGTGATCGACAAGCCCAGCTGGCGGTTCAGGGCCTTGACCGCCTGTGGAACCACCAGCCGCAGCATTTCCACGACCTTCCGCCCCGCGTCCGCGCCCCGCTGTAGCTGCTGCAGCTCAGGATTCTCAGTTTTAGGCTTCTTGGAGGGAGGTTCGTCCTCGTCCTCCAGCAATCGAACCACTATGGCGGTGTCGGGGAGATTGTGAGGTCGGCGTTGCTTGAATGCCTAAACCAGATAAATGATGAAAATAATGGATAATAAACAATTTGACGGTGGCAGCATTTTATTACAGCTTGTGTAATGGTTTTCCAGCAAAACTGGTAGGTCAGGATAGGAGGTCAAGATTGATAGTGAAAAAGATTGAAAAAGTCATTGACAATCAAAGTTATTAAAGCATCCAAAAATCACTTTTATGATAATACAACCATACAACCTTGCTCTCAGCCAATCTTTTCTTCACTCTAAATGTCAAGGGACAATTTTTTTTCTGTTGCAAGATGCATCTGTGAGCGCATTTTGCAAGATGCAGTTTTGAATCCTGATAAGTTACAAATTTGTATCTTCGCGGGTGGACAAATTTTTATTTTGTCCAACTGTAGGTACAATATAGTCACGCTTCAAAATTGCATCTTGCAAGATACGCTCACAGATGCATCTTGCAATGGACAAAAAAAGTCCCTTGACATTAAGAGTGTTTTGTCTAACTTTGTTACATTACTCTTAAATGGCTGTGGCTGACTAAATATTACCCACTCAACCAATATGTGTTGACTCCGATATTAGAAGATGGTGAATTTTTAACCATAGGATATTTTAACATTACTGACCTTCCAGAATCAGAAACTTTTAAAGATACTGACCTTCTTGCAAGTTGGGCACTTCCTCCCTAAAGTAGGATTTTCAACACATTCCTTACAGATGGTATGTCCACAGGGTAGGTTTTTAGGGCGATGGGAGTGCAGGTCAAACTTGAGTAAGCAACTATCGCACTTCAAAGTCATCTATAACACAAACGAAAATCGGTATACCCAAAAATTAGTGTTATGATCTCGAAAATATAGCTAGGTTAAATATGGAGGTACATAAAGAGCTCCAACCTCAAAAGTTACATATACCTTTCTTTTCTACAGGTGTCTACTCCGTACCACGAGTAAAATGCAGTAAGAGGCCGTCTGGAACGTGTCGAGCACTAGCAATAGAGAAAAGCACTGAATGTTGGTTGTTGATGGGCGTAAAGCTGCAGCAACACACTTTGAATAAGGTTTCGGAATAAGGTTGTGTTGTTGGCTCGTTGTTTGCTTCCTCTTTTCTGCTGGACGAATCACGGCTCCCGATTGGCTGGCTGGCCCCAGCGGCAAGAGACGCAGAGCGCGCGAAGTATGAACGTCTGACCAGACTGTGCGGCCCGCCTACTCTAGCACAGGTATGAGAAAGAAGAGGAAGAAGTGACAACAACGTGTGGAACCCGCAACACCGCAACAAAACAAGGACAGGAGGGCGATCGGAGAGCTCCCTGAAAACAACGGGAAACGTCTTCTCACAGGGTGAGTGGGGTAGTGGGAGGACGGAAGTGGAGCGATCTCAGGGAGCTCTCCGATTGCCATCCAGCTCTTCTCCTGTACTGTCTAGATCAACGTCTATCGTCCTTCTGTGGATGTTACAGTTGTGCAAGACGCCGTCTTCTACCCTCTTGCCTGGCCGTGCTGGACGCGCGCTCCTGGAGCACGTCACTTCCACGTCTGTCGCGCTGCTCGCCGCCGCCCTATGGGCGCGCCTCGCTGTACCACACGGCGTCGCACAGCACTCCTTTCAATGCCGTCATTTTTCATCATTGAGCGCGCGTGTGTGCCGTCGGGTGTGGGCGGCTGAGAGGGGCAGTAAGGGCTCCTGCAGCAGTGCCGCCGCCGCCCCACACCGCCGAGACGCACCGAGACCATTCGGGTTGGATGCCTCTCTCGGGAGGAGACGTTCGTCACTCGCAGAGAGGGGTGGAAGAGGAGGACAGGACGCTGAGTGGAGAAAGCCAAGAGCAGCTCGCGCAGATAAGCTTAAAATTCATATCATACCCGACCCAGTGCTGCCAGTATTCACTGATCGTTGTTTTGATCGTTAATAAAAGCAACAAAGAAAATGTTTCAAAAATTCAAAGGTCCAATGTTGGTCGTGCACCACCACCACAACCGCACCGCGGATCGTGGATTTCTGCAGCTATCTCTAAATTGGATACATGCTCCGCAGTCGCGCCCCCGGCCCGCCCGCCCCCTTCACACACCTGCACGACACCACGAGCGCGGCGCCGCGGCTCGCCCGCGAGCGAGGTGGATTTAATGGGATGGGCCGATGATGAATGTGGCTTAGGAGCGCCCCATCCCGCTTAGCCGCGGGCCGGGGGCGGGTCCGCACGTACGCGTGTGTGGCGAGGAATAATCACACCGGTGCTTTGTTGCCACCCCGCCCCGCCCCGCTGGTGCGGGGGATAACAACGCGGCGCCGCACCCCGCCATAAGTGACAAAGCGCGCCGCACTACATAAAACGGAACTCTAGAATGGCGTGGAGTTGTCGCCGGCTGGGGCGGCGCGGAGCCGAGCCGGCCTCAATCGCGTCGTCTTAGTAAGTAAAGCTTCGTCGGAAAATTGCAAATGTATTTGCATGCCGCGTTAAAAAAGTGTATGTCGGGCGAGTGGAAACGCAACCGTGAGTTTTTGCAAATGCTAGTCTCTGCTCCAATGTCCACGAGATATGAAACGAAGCAGGCCTCGTTTGTCCGCTTAGTCCCTTCCCTTGGTCCGCTTGCGCTATTGCGCCCGTCGCCTCCTGTCCACAGTCCGTCAAGCAGGAAGGCCACCCCACCCCTCCCCGCCGCCGCCACCGCGGCCCGGAGTGCGCGGGGGTGGCGGAGGGGTGAGGAGGGGGCGCCGGAGCCAGAGGGGGCGAGGAGGGCGCGGCAGATAAGGCCCTGCATACTGATGCAGGACGGTTGGCACACCTTATTCACGCAGGGTTGCCAAATGGCCGGCCCCCGCTCGTGTGCACGTCGCCGCCCGCCCCACCGTGTAAGAACTGCTGCTGTCAAATTACTCCACCACAAGGAGGGGGGGGGGGGGCTTTGACTTACTTAAACGCAGCGGAAATGGACTATTTCATTGCGATTCCGTTTCTTTATCTTTTTGCACCCCTCCCTGGTACGTCATTCGTTCATTGATTCTCGCATTCATTCGATGCCCCCCCCCCCTCCCTCCGCCCGTCTCCTCTATTGTTCCAGGGCCACACCCGCACCGTACCGCACCGCCCACCCG